TTTTATTTAAGAAATATTATAATTTGAAAAATAAACTTCGATTTTTCCTTTAGAAATCAAATATATAAAAAAATTATCTTTTATTAATCAAAAAAAAAAAAATTGTGAATAAAAATGGATTATAGAATTTTTTAGTTATTTTATTAAAAAAAATATATAAAAAGGTTTTCTCAATGCTCTTTTTTAGTTATAAATTGTAAATATTTATTAACTTTAAATTAAATAACAATCCAAATTGATTTCTTTTTTTATAAATAATGATTTATTTATAATACTCAAATCATAATCTATATATATTATTAACTTATTTTTTCAATATCATTAAGTTTATTTCTTTTTTAATTTATATTAAATGTAAAAACCATAAATATAAATATCATATATACAAAAAACAATTCGTAAAAATTTGTTGGGGTTATAAAAGTTTTTTTTGTTTATTAATATATATATATATAATTTATACATAAATATAAATATACTAATCATTAGTTTGATTTTTATCCCACTAATATAATGAATATATATATATATATTTATTTTGTTAGATTTTTTGTAATATAATCTAAAAATTATAGATACCTTTTTTATTTTAATATTTGTTTTATTATAAATAAATATTATGGGTAAATAAAGTATTTAATTATGTTGCTTTAATGCATGTAGTTAATAATTTACCAAATTTTAGTAAATGTTAATATGTTTTTTTTAAAGGGATTGAAAATTTTAAGGAAATAATAATATTTTTTAAAAAAAGAAAAAGTCTTTAATTCAAAGTAAATAAAAATGTAATAAGAATAACTAACTTAAATTAAAAAAGTTGTCAAAGAAATCAAATAAAAAACTATAAATATATATACAAAAAAAAAAAAAAATTATAGAACTCTTCTCATGTACTAAATAATTAAAATATATCCTCATATTAAAAAAAAATATCTATAATAAAATATATAAAGCAAAAAATGGTTATGTAACTATTAAAATATTAAACTGAATTAATAAGCAAAAGGTAAATGGAAAATATAATGTAAATATTACAAAATAATTATATAATATTTACTGATAAAAAATGTGAAATAAAATTAAAAAATTTTCAAAGAATTTTAAAAATTTGTCCTTATGTAAACTTTAATAATATATATTATTTTAAGATTTTTTTGGCTTGTAATTAACTTATTCTTGTTATTTTTTATTTAAAATATCAAATTTTTTATATTATTTAAAATTTCAAACTATTCTCATTTATTTCTTTGTTTATGAAAAATTAAATTATATATATATTATATATTATATATCATATCATTATATATATAAAAATCTTGCTAAATTTTATATTTTTTGGTTAAAATAACTTGATTAAGGCAATTAGTTTTACAATTGGAATTATGAATCAATTTTAAATTATAATTTATATTAATTATTTTTTTCATATGTATTAGTAATTAATTTTTCTTTATCTTCTTTATGTCCTTTACATAAAGAATTTGCTTTTAATAAATCAAATAATGAGCGTTATTAATTTTTAGTTTATAAAATTATATATATTATTCTCAATAAATATAATTAATAAATTAAATTGTTTAATGAAATTTTTATTTTATAGATAAATGACTTTTTTTTATATTTTATGAAAAATATATAGTATCGTTATTTTAATTGAAATAAATTTTAAGATTTATTTGTTAATAATAATAATTTAAAATGTCTATTTATTATAATTATTATACTTTGATATAAATAACTATATTTATATATTAAAAAATATAATATAATTTATTTTTATATTTTTAAAATATTTATTATATTATTTTTCTTCAAGCATCTCTATATGGACAATCAATCTATTCATTATTATTAATTTTAGTTTATAAATAAACTTCATAACATTCTAAATGCACTTCATGTCTATTGCAAACAAATTTAGTAATTGGTTTAATATCTAAAGATTCCATACAAATAGGACAAACATTGATTTCTTCTTCAGTTAGTTTTGAACTTCTGTTTTTTAATATTGAAATTTTTATTTTCCTTAATTAATATATATTTTTAAGTTTAATATAATATTCTTTAGATTTATAGAAAAGATATTAAGGTAATATGAAGAATATAAACTTTAGAAAAATAAAAAATGTATTAATAATAAATTTGATTATTTATTAATAATTATTTAATATTGCTCCTATAATTAATAAAATTAATATTACTAATAAAAAAAATAATATATTCATTCGAAAATATATCTATTTTTTTATTTAAATTAATAAAAAAAGATGTATAAAATTTAAAACTATAAATATTTACTAACTATTAACAAATATCTAAATAATAATTAAAACAAGAATTAATACACTTTGAACAAATTTCGCATTCGAATTATTTTTGATTATCCTTTAATTTACATAGATTAACATATTATCCAAATATTTCTAATTGCCCATTTATTTCATTATATTTTGATAATATTATAGTAGATCTTTATTCAATAATATTATATATAACATATTATATATTATAACCTTTAAGTTTATTGTTTATACATAAAACAAGTTAATTATTATTTTCTCCAATATTAACTAAATAATTTTCACTTATTTTAAAATAAAATACTTAAAATTCATTATAGATAGTATAATAAACATCTTTTTATTCAGCTAAAATTATTTTTAATTAAAAATCATCAAAATTTTAAAACAAAGTGAAGTTTTAGATATATTATTATTGTTGTTATTAAAATGTAGTTTTATCAATTAAATACAATTAAAAACCACATTTTATTAATAATTTATTATCAAGGAATTAATCGAAATCAATATTTTATTTACATTCATTTAAAATAGAAAAATTAAAAATTAAAAATTTATATTCAAATGTATTAAATTCTATCTTACGATATTATATATAACTAGTATTTTTTCTCTAATTAAAAAGAATTTAATATTCTTATTTAATGAATTAACCTCAGTATGTTAAATTTATAAAAAATTGAGATCAATTTATTAAAGAAATTACTATTTTTATTCATATAATAATGTTTTATTTAAAAAAAAATGTATATCTTCCTAAAAATTGAGATATATAATATCCTCTATTATTTATAATTTCTATATTGGTTATTCTTTTATTTAGAATCTATATAATATTTCTAATTGATTGTTTGCTTTATTTGTTTCCATTATTTGAAAATAATCATTTTTTCCTATTGTACTGTATTTTTATTTAGTATTTATGCATCCTGTGATTTTTTGGTTTATATTTTCACTTTTTGGAAATTCAAAATCTCTTATTTTATATTATTAATGGTGATTATTTTCTGTTACTTCTTCTATAAGTAAATTTTTATTTACATAAACTAATGTTTAATAATAATCTGAATATACATATAATTCATTTTCAAGGCTTTTTATTGATAAACATGTTATTAATGTTTAGATTTATATAAAGGAGATAAATATTTAAAATAATTATTATTTTATCATTATTTATAATATGTAAAAATCATATATTTATTTTTTTAATTAATTATAAAATAAAAAATTTATTTTATTTTTAAAATTTATTTTAAACTAAAAATATTAATTAAGCTTGAATAGGAATGTGATTCGTTTAAAATAAAAAAGTAATTTATTTTAATAAGTGAGATAAATAATAAATATGATACCCATATGACTTATATTTAAATATTGTTTTTTTAATTATTAAATATTTAACTATTATTTTATTGTTTTTTAAAATATTTTTTATAAATTAAATAAAACAATTTTAATAAAAAACATAATGTATTTTTTTTAATTTTAATTATTTCTAAAATTTTATTGTAATCTATATTTATTTTTAAATTATACAAAAAAAATAGTTATTTAATCAATAATAATATATATATTTTAAAGTATATATTATTCAAATATTAATTAAGTATTAGCTATTTATAATATATTTTTTTGAAGAAAATATTTAAAGAATTAGCATATTTAATTTTAAAATTTATTAGTTTATAAATGTATTTCTTTTCATCCTTTTTTCTACCTTTTATTCAAGTAGTTTTTATTATCAAAAAATATTCATGATATAATTTTGAGTTAAATAAATTCTTAGTATCAATATAAAAATTTTTATTTACATAAATTATTTATTTAATTTACTTTGTTTTTATTTGGATTTTAAAAGATTTAAATTTAATTTATTTTTTTAAAAATAAATATGAATTGTAATTAGGTTAAATTTAAGTAATTTTAATCCTTTAAATTTAGAAAATAGTAAATATGATATGCAAACAAGATAAGAAAAAATACTAAATAAAAAAAAATATATATTTAACAATAACATATATATAAATTATATTCCCATTTTCTGATTTTATTAATTTAAATTTATTATTTAATTAAACAAAAATATATTAATATGTATGGAATTATATATATAATAACGGTGATTATGTTTATTTAATTAAAGCTTTTGAAGACTTCTATGCGATGATTGTTTTTATATTGTAAAAAGAGGCGAGTTTTATTTCTTTAATTTTTATAATTATAGGAAAATTTAAATAGTGTGTATTTTTGATATTAAAATATTAAGAAGATAAATTTCATATCTATAACATATTTAATAATTTAGATTTTTTTTATTAAAAATATATATATAAATAAATATATTTATATATAAAGATATATATATATAAATATATATTTAATAAATATATATATATTTATTAAACACACAATTAGACTATTAAAAATAAATATTTAGTTTATTTATTCAATCTTATAATATTTGAAATAATATTTATTTTATACAATATAATTTAAGCTTTATTTGTTTTGTATTTAAAATTAACTTTGAAATCAAATACATTTTTCGATGCATATTCTATAATTTTTTTAATAAAATCTAAAATACAATAAATAATATAATCTTAAAAAATTAAAAATAACATATAACAAATAATTATTTACTTAATAAAAAAATATAATTATTATGAAAACTTTTCATATACAAAAATGAAGAAAAAAAAAACATTCCTAATTTTAATAAGTTTAAATAATTTATAAAAAAACAACTACAACATGAAAAAAAAAGCATAAGCAGCATAAAAAAATATAAACTTATAAAATAGCCGAATATTAAATAAGTTTAAATAAAAAAAGGTTTTGAAAAAAAAATACTTTCTTTCATTTAAAAGATAATCAAACACCACCAGCAGCAGCAGATTTCATAGCGATTTTTCTTTTTGACCACCTCTAATAAGACCAGTTCTTCTGGCACCTCTTAAACCAACCTTTTGACCAGGGCAAGACTACTTAGAAACAGTAGAAGGATGACCAATATGTTATTAGTTACCACCACCATGAGGATGGTCTACGGGGTTCATTGCTACACCTCTAACCTTAGGCCAATTTTTTCTCTTTTTAGCATATTTATGGAACTAGTTACCGGCTTTCAATATAGGTTTATCAGTTCTACCACCTCCAGCTACTACTCCAATTGTAGCTCTGCAATCTCCATTGATAGTTTTTCTACATCCGGAAGGTAATCTGATTCTGGTCTTACTTCCATCTTCTGAATGTCCAATAATAGTTGCGTATGTTCCAGAAGCTCTTGAGTAAGCACCTCTGTCTCCGACTTTTTCTTCCACATTACATACAACTGTACCTTCTGGGATTTTATTTATTGGGAGTACATTTCCTACGGAAATACCTGCTTTCAAACCACAGTAAACGTATTATCCACTGTATTATCCTTCAGCAGCAATGAAATATTCTTTGTTATGTTTGTATCTATAGGGATCTTTGAAATCAACTTTAACCAAAGGACTTTATATTTTTTATTAGATTAATTAATTTTTTTTTTTTTTTTTTACGCTCCTCTACCAGGTTCATGTAAAATTTCTCTAACACAACCTCTAATGTAACTATTTTAAATTTTTTTGTACTTATTATATATATTATATATATAAAAATATGAACCCTTATCTTTCAGCAAAATCATATACTCTGTATTAGGCAGGAGCAATTCTTCCACTTTTGTGTGCTTTGAAAACACCATTTGCACGTCCTTTTCTTTAGGCTCTGATAACTTTACCCATTTTTTTATTTTTTTATTTATATTTTTTTTATTTATTTTTAGTTTTAATTTTTGATTTATTATATAATTTTTCTTTATATATGTATTTTTTAGTTTTTTTTTTTTTTAATATTTTTTATACTTTTTTGTTGTTGTTGTTTTTTTATTTTTTTATTTTTTCATATAAAATCTTTTTATTTTATTTTTCCCTTCTAAAAAATTATTTAATTTTACCTTGTAACTATGAAATTATTTTTATTCTTTAATTTTTTTATATAATTTAAAATTTTTAAAATATTTCAATTTTTTTTAATATGAAATAATGAATATAATAATTTATTTATAAAATAATATAATATTTACTATACTATTTTTTCTTTATTTTAAAGAGAAATATAAAAATTTTATTTCGATAAATAATAGATCTAATAAATTATATATTATAATATTTTATATTTTTAGAAATAAAATATTATTAATTATTTAAAAATTATTATTAATATATATATATATATTTATTTTTAATAAATATTAGATATAAAAAAGTGCTTTAATTTATCATTAAATTATATTAATCAGTATTTCTATTAAAAAATATTTTTATTTTTAATAAATAAAATTAAAACATATATAATTAAAATAATTTAAATAAACATTTTAAGTATAAATTAAATTATTATAAAAAAATAAATAGAAATATTTATTATATTAAATAAAAATATCCATATTTTTTTAATTACTTACTTATATATATATATATATATAATCAATAGATTATATTAAATATTAATATTAAAATTTACCTATAATTATTTAATTTCGCTTGCGTTTTATTAACTATTTTAATAATATAATTTAAAAAAAATAAGTATAAATAATGAATTCTTATAAAAATAATTGTTAAAAAATATTGCCTATAACTATATTATTGTATTGTTTCTTATATTGTATATAATGTGAGAATATTAAATCGTTTTTTTTTCAAAATAAAACTTTTTAAGAATAAAGACTTCCTTTTTTAGAAAAAGAAATATAAAACTATTGCTAATAAATAATTAACATATAAAATTAAAACTAATAATTATAAGACAAATATTTTACAGGTAATAGCAATATATTACAAAATGAGAAAATAAACAATAAAGAAACTAAATAAACCATATTTATTTATTTGATTAATGATTCAAATTATAATATTTAAAATTAAATTAATTTAAAGTATGAAGATAATACCAAATTTAAAATGATCGAATAAAAAATAATAAAATTTTAATGTTAAAGCGAAAACAAATAATAATTCTAACTTTTTTATGAAAAATTATAATAAACAGTATAACCCAATATTTTAAAATAAAATATAATTTTGGAACAATATTTATAATAAAATTAATCTATTAATAAAAGACATTTAAATGAAGAATAATATAATAGTATTGAAATTACACAAAAGTTGACAAAATTTGGATATGAGATATTATTTCATTTTGAATAAAGTTTAATATCTGCATCGAACATTTAAAATTAAATACATATATAAATTTCTTATATTTAGTAATATTCATATACATCAACTTATTTTGAAAAAGAAAAGAATTTGTTAATAAAAGTAGTGCTTAATTAAAATTGTAAAAAATAAAAAATAACATTGACTCTTGATTAAAGTTTCATTGAGTTAAATAAATTGTAAAAAAAAGTTTATTCTTTTAATCTAGACACATATGTGATATTAAATGAAAGATAAATTCATTTAGCTAATACTATTAAAATTATGTCAAAAATATTTGTATTTTTTACTTTTCTAACTCTTCTTTTTATGACTTTCTTTGGAAAATTTTATAAATTATACGCTTGCATTGATACTATTTCTTATTTATATTTCCTTTCTTAAACTTCTATTAGATTTCCTATTAATGTATTATTATATTTTGAATAATTAAATAATTTCGAACTACCTTTTTTAAATTAATTATTTAATTCTGTATTTGATAATAAATATAAATACATTAAAATAATATTTTTAATTTTTATTTTTTCAATAATATACTTATTAATTGACAAATTCGTATATAAAAGAAAAAAATACGCCTATTTCGCATTTAACATAATTTACGTAAGCTTTATTTATATAATTTATTATTCCTCTGAATTTAATATATATTTGAGTTTATTAAGTATATTTAAATTTATTATATTACTTGGTTTAATTTTTAGATATAGAAGAGCAGGAGTATAAACCGGATTATAATAAAATCTGTATGTAATAGCTGTAAATGGAATTTTAAATTAAAAATAAAATAGGTAGACTAAATATAGTTAATTTTGTCATTTATTATAATTTTCGAGAAAAATAGTATTTGTATTGTTTTTGGTTTTTTTTAAATAACATTATTATTTGATGTTATCCTTAATGATTTTTTATAATCTTTTTTTATTAAGTATTTAGCCTATATTATGCCTTTTATTCTTTTCTTTTAAAATATTCTTAATGCTATTACTGAATTTTTGTTAATGGTTGTTTTTTGCATTTCCTTTTATTATTTAAATGATCCCCAAGAATAAAATGAATAATCTAGAATTAATGTAGGATGGATTATTATTGGATTTGTTGCTATATTGTTTATTATTTAATAAATTCATATATGCGGAGAAATTATATTTATTTTTAAAAGCTTTGGATTTTTTAAAAATTATTTTAATAATTAAAAAATTTTAAATAACTAAATGAAGAGAAAAAATCTGAAAATCACAAAAATTAAGATTATGTTTAAAATGAAATTGATGACTCAAATAAAAATCATGGCAAAGTTTAAAATCAAAATGGATAAAAAGATTAATAATAAGAATAATAAAACTTTTTGAAAATAGAAAAACTATAATAAGGTGAATAAGAAAAATTAGAGGTTTCAGATAATAAATAAGAAAATTATGAATAAATAGAAAATAAAAGTTAAAAAATACAAATAAAAAATATTTATAAAAAAAAAAAAATAGGAAATGACGATTAATTTGAATAACTTAAGCTAGATATAAAAGTAGCAGCTAATTTTAATAGCCCAAGTCTTGAATTCTAAGTAAATTAAGAAAATTAATAAAAATCAATTTTTTCTTCTCCTAATTTATTAATACAGGATAAATAAAATTAATTATTAATTCCGGTTAATTAAAGATAAAAATCAATATTATTACCAGAAGGATAATGAAATAAAACATAAAAAAATTATATATATATATATATATATATATATATATATATATATATATATATATATATATATATATACAGATATTTATAATCATTTTTTTTTTATTATTAAAATTAAACATAATAATATTAAATATTCAATAAATTAATAATAATAAACACATTTTAAATAAAAACTCAAATTTATTAATTTAGACAATAATTATTATAATTATTATTTTTACATTTTTATTATATATATTAAAAAAAAAGTATTTTATTTTTAAATTTATATAATTTTATAAATTTCAAATAATAATCTCTTATATATCTTATTAATTATTTAAAATAACTATTGTTTATTTTTTTTATATATTCTATTAAAATTATTATTAGTTTTATTATAATTATTTATTTATATCTAAATTTGTTATTTATAATATTTTTTCAAGTAATACTTAAGAATTTTCATTTTTATTTATTTTATTATATAAAAATAAAGGGAAAATAATACTTAAAGATTTTTTATTTATTAATGATGAAAATTCTTATTCTTATTTTTTATAATTATTAAATATAAATTAAAAATAAATACCTTTTATTTAAACTCCTTATCTTAAATTAGATTTATTTATAGTGCTTTAATTCAATTTTGAATTAGAAAATTTTAATGTCTTGATTGGTGTCTAATTATATTCATTATATAAAGATTTGTCAGTTTAATATATTTTTTTTACTTTTCAAAAAAATATAAATAAATTATAAATGAATATAATAAAAAATATATAGAAAAAAGAAACAAACAATATAAATTATTATATAATTATATTTCTATTTTTTAATTTTTAAATTACATAAATTTTATATATTACGTTTTTAAAGGGTTATAGCTGTACTTTCATAATTATCTAATGCGTATTTTTTATCAGGAGTTTTAAATTCATGTTTATCTTAATTAATTTAGAGAACAGGTTCTCCTTCTTCTAAATTTTGAATATTTACTTCTTCTTTTACTAATAAATTATGTTTAATATTTTTTTATTTTGGAGGTTCTAAATCATTTTCTCTATTAAGAATTTTCAATTTTCTTTTAATAGTAGAATTCCAATGATTTTTTATCGCATTATCAGTTCTTCCGGGTAAATATTTAGTAATAAATGCCCATTTATTACCAAATCTATAAAAAATGCAAAATTAAATATATATTATTTAAATAAATAAAAAAACATACTTTTTATGTGCTTCTATAATTTCTAGTCTTCTTCTTCTGTCCATCTATCTTTTAATATCTGGATTAAGATGATTATGCCATCTTTCTCTACATTGTTTCCTATTCTCCCAGGTAGATGTTTAGCTATAGCACTCCAATTTTTAGGTCCCTATTACATGACTAGTTTAGTAACTATTTCGTCTTCTTCTTTTGTCCAAGGGCCTTTTACAAGGGAAGGATTAAGTACTTTTTACCATCTATGCAGACATTAAACATTACTTCTTTCGAGAAAATAACTAGCAATTTTTTTCCAGTTTTTTGCTCCTAATTAATTTACGAGCTATTTTAATAAATTATCTTCTTCGGGAGTCCACCATCTTTTTGCACAGTTTTTTTCAGTGGAGGAATATTTAAATTGAATTTTATTGTTTATTTTATTTTAATCGATTTCTTATATGCTTTTGCTTTTTTACAAATTATTTGATTGTATTGATGATATTTCGCTTTCATCTTTTTGTTGTTACTCTTCTATTTCTTCTGATGAAAATTCATCATCTTCATCATCTTCATCATTTTCATCATCTTCATCATCAAAATATTCGTTTTTGTTTTCTTTTTAGTCTTATTTTTTCATTTTTGTTTATCCTGATAAATCGAAATTTTATTAAACTAATGCTTATAATAAAGATTAGTATATTATGTTATTTTGTATTGTATTTTTAATATTTAATAAATCAGATTTTGGATTTTAAATTTAGCTTAATAATTAAGCTAGTTAAGTTGGGTCTAATTAGGGTGTTAATATATTATTTTTTTATTGCTTTTTGGGTTAAGGCTTGTTTTATGACTAATATTAAGCATGGTTTTGGTATTATTTTTCTTAGTAAATTTAAGTGTAGTCGTTATTATTGGTAGGAATTTCTTCGATTTTAGGTTTTATTTACATTTTTTTTATTTTAAATTCCTTCTACTTTTTTTGTTTTACTTTAGTTTTTTAGAATTTTTTTGTTTCTTAATTTTTTTTATTTATTTATTTTACTTTATACGTTTGTTTCTGTTTTTTCCTATTATTTTGAATTAATTTTTTACAGGATTAACTTTTAGATTATTATATATTTATATTAATATATTATTTTTTTGAAATTAATAAAAATAATATATTTTTTCCCATAAAATTAAAATTTATTAATATTAAAAATAAAAGGTATAATAAAATTAATTATATATTGTTTATTAATGAATATATATATATATATATATATATTTAGATTTAATAAAATAAATATAAATATTTGACATTATAATTGATTAATAAATAAAAATAATATTCTTATTTTGAAATAATAGAGAAAAAAAAAAAGTAAAAAAAAATATATATAAAATTAAATAAAAATAAAATTCATTCAGGTTGTTTAATTTTTGAAATTTATTACAATTTGATTTTATCAAACTGATTAATTAACAATTTATCTATACTATCAGCTTTTATGTTATTCATTCTAACTGGTTTATTAAATAACATTTTGAATAATTCCTGAAATATTAATATTTTATTTTTAATCAATATTACCTTAATTTGCATTAATTGGTTAAGATCTTCCGTTTGGGATAAACTAAATATTTTATAAAGATGACTAAATACTTCTTTAATTAGTATTGTTAAAATTAATATTTATATTATTATTAGAAGTATTAAAGATTTATTATTGTAATAATTATTAAATTTAAGGGTTTGATTAACCTTAATTAATTAAATAGCTTATTAATTATTCTTATTATTATAATTGCTATTATAATAAATCCGATTAATCTGAAAAGGATTTTGATTTTTACTTTTAAAATATTTTTTTTGAAGAAACTTAATTTTAAAGATCTTAATTTTATTAGATTTAATTTATAATATTTAACTATTATTATATTTATTATTATTAATCTACTGAATATAATATTACATTTTATTATTAAAATAATTCTTGTAATTTAGGATTTTAAATAAGTTTATTTTCTTAAATTTATTAGTTTACTTAATTATTTTATAACATATTAATTTATTAAAGATTATTAACATTTTAAACTTTCTATTACTATTGATTTTGTAAGAATAACTTATTTTATAATTAGAACATTTAATTTTATTTAATTTATGGCGAACTAATATTATTATTAAATTATAAGAAAAGTTAATTATTTTAAAATAAATTATTCAAAATTTACTATTATTAAATTTATTATTATGATTATAATTAAGGATTAAACTCATTAAATAATAGATTTTATTATAATAAATTTTCATTATAAAATAAAGGCTTTTCTGCTTAATTAAATAGTTATGACGAAAATTATTATTTTTATTAAAGAAAATAATTAAAAAATTGATAATCTTATAAAATGTATTAAAGTAATTATTAATTTTATTATAATTATTATGAGTTTTATTATTAGTATTAATTTTATTATTGTTATAATAATAATTATATATATTATTAAGTTTTTTATTATTTTTAATTATCATTTAATTATTATAAATAAATTAAATATTAATCTATTAATTACTTCTAATATTGTGTTTTTTCTTTCTATTTTATATCTAAATTCATATTTTTTTAAATATTTTAAAAAAGTTCATTATTTAAATTTTATTATTAATATATATTTATATTCAAACTTTAAAATATAAATATTACTTTATTTATTTATATTTTTTTTATTTTACTTATTAAATTAATTATTTATGCTCAATTAGCTTTTATCGCTTATACTTTCACTTTTCTATTTTTTTTTTATTTTTATTTTTATTTTTATTTTTTATTATTATTTTTATTTAATATATAATTTCATGTTTTTACTTATAATTTATTTTTTAATATATCACAAATTTAACTTTATTAACTTTCGAATTAAATATAATCTTCATTTTTTATTTCATTTGCTGATTTACTTCTTTATCTAAGAATTTTTTTTTTATTTTGTTTTGATAAATTATGTTCAGATTGTTAAAATATATTTTTATTTTTAGAGATTTTCTCATCTTTCTAATTATCTTATTTTATATTAAATTTATTTATAAATATTTGATTTTTTTTTTAATTAAAAATAACATAAAATAAAAATAATATTTATGTTTTTTTTTTTTTTTTATATAACTATTTTAATAAAATATTAATATATTTTTTATTTTACTTTCTAAAAAGTAAATTTTAAAAATAATTTTATTTTATTTTTTTATAAATATTCATAATATTTTTTTTTAATTAATTTAAAATAAATTAATATAAATTATTGATTTTTTATATTTTACCTAAATCTTCGTTTTTTACTATTATTTATATATTATTATCACAATTCTAACTTTCTTAATTTTAGCACTCTAGAATTTAATAAGTACATCCTTTTTTTTCTAGTTATATTATCTTTTCTTTGTTTTTTTTTTATTATTTTTTTTTATTTTGCTATTTATAAGATTTTTAATCAGTATTTTTTTCATTTACTTATTTTTTTTCTTTTTAAGGCAAAGGAAATTCTCCATATATGACATTCCAAATACTAAAAAAATCCTTAAACACATATTTTGCATTCGGAACTACCCAATGTACATAAAGAAGTAAGCACAAAATCCTTTTTCTTACTAAAGTTTTCCATTACTCAACATTCTTTTAATTTCCTATATCATTTTATATTAAAGAAAGTAATAATTCTAAATATTATTTTTCCTTCGAGAATTCTCTTATTTTCTCTTCATAAGCATTTAGTAAATTTATATATTTAACATTTTAGTTTTTATCTAAGTTTTATTCTATTTAAAACCTTAGTTATCTTTTACTTATACAATCAGTTTGTTTTATTATTATACTACTTACGTGATTTTCAAGAAAATAATTCATTAAAGTGTCTTATAATTATTTGTTTGCACTTTTCATACTTTTTTTTAATATATTCTCAGTTAAATTTATAAAGTCTTTTAATATTGGTTATATGTATTAATTTATTACACCTAATTATTCAGAGTTCAATTTTAACGGCTCTTAATTTGGTTAGATTAATTACTCCATTTTTAATATTTTATTTTATTTTGTTTTTGCTTTAGTTTTTATTTTTGTTATTTCTATTTTATTTAACTTTAAAAAATGTATAATAATTTAACTAACATATAAAAATTTGTGATTATTATAAAATTAAAAGGTAGAAAATATTAGGTAATATAATATTTTTATAACCGTATAAATTAAAAAATTTGTTTTTTTAATTATACAATAAAATTAGGTAGAATGTATTTTTTATTATTTTATATTATAAAAAAAAAATTAAAATAAAAAATATAATAAAGTATAAATAAAAAAATTAAAAAAAAAATTTAATTTAATAAATATTTTGATAAAAATATTTTTATAAAATTTTTTTTTTTTGTGATTATTTTATATATTTTTATTTTTTCACTTTTTTCAAAGATCAGATTTTTTTTTTTATTTATTGTTTTTCTAGCTTTCATAACACATATTATCTATTTTAATTTTATCATTATTTGAATTTAATAACTCAATTTTATTATCTTTAATATTATTTATGAATTATAATATATTCTAGTATGATAAATTCTGTTCAATTTGATACCTTTTTTTATAATAAATAAATAAAAAGATTTTATATTTTTATTTAAATACTTTGAATTTATGTTATTCAAAAATAAAACTAATTATTTATCTTTATATTCGTCTGTGATTAAATTTTTATTATTTTCGTAAAAATTACAACTATTATCTATATAGAAATAATTAAAGTTATTATTAATAAATTCTTTTTTAATTCTTTATAATTTAATTAGATTATTTTTTAGATTTTATTTATCTTTAATATTAAATATTCCTATCACACATATATTTTTAGAACATTAATTATCCAAATCTTCTTATTTTTTAATCAATTAAATTTATTATTTAATTATAATTTGTTATTTTTCTAATACTAAAATATTAAAGTATTCTATCAAATAATCATACTTGAATTATTCGTATTCAAATATTTTGTTTTTCTAGTTCTTTTAGTTCAAAATTGTATTTAAATAAGGTAATTATTAAATATTAAAGTACTTTTTTTATTCTTATGTATAAGTAAAACAGATATTAAAATCAATATACTTATTATATCTTGATTAATAACTAATTTAAAGAAATTAGAAGTTTTAAAAGTAGTCATTTTTATTATTAAATAAATAGGTTTAATATTTCTAATTTTTTTGTTTTTCGAAATTAATTTGACAAACATCATTAAATATTTTTTAATTACTTTTATCAAAAATTTCTTAACTTAGTTATTATTTATTTTAATAATTTTATATTAATAAATAATCTGAAATTTTTTTTTAACCAGGACCATATAAAATAAGGGATTAATTCTTTTTTTTTTAAATTAAATTAAATAAATATGAATATATATTATTATTTAAATATTATTCTTACTTATAATTAAGGATAGAATTTAGATAATTCCTCATTAGTACAATTAAGATTATAATAGTTGAATAAATTACTAAAATCCTTTCTAATTTAATTCATTTATTTATCATTTTAATTAGCCTAAATTCCAACTAAAATAAAGTTATTTGTATCACTCAAAATAATCTATAATATTTATTACATTTCTACATTTTTTATTGGTTAAGCTTTATCATTATTATCAGTATATAAATTATTTTAGATGACTTTTTTATCCTCTTAAACTATATGATTAATGAATTTCTTAACAGCTTAAAAGTCAAATTTTTTATACGGAAATTCTTTATTTTTTATGCCCTCATCGTCATATTAAATAACTAAAAGTGCATTTCCTTGATTTATTTTTAAGTTGTTTCTAATTTTCACTTCATCATCTACTACAATTCCAAACTTTTTTTTAAAAAAAAAATATTTAAATAAATATATATTTTAATAAATATATGTATATATATATTTTTACATCAAATCTTTCGTAAAATAATCCACTTAAAGCTCTATAATAAGCAGGTATTTGTTAATAAAATTAATCATCAAAAAGAAGAACTTTATATTCTTTAGCAACTGATCCTATAAAATTTTCAAATTAATCCAATGAAATAATTTCTTTAACTAAATTAGGCAAATATTACAATGTTTTATAAGTTAATTCTTCAACACTTAAATTACCTTAATAAGGAATTGTTTTATGCACTTTCTTATATTGTAACTAAGATTAGTCTATTTAGGGTTAGAAGAATGCTATATTTGGTAAATCATTTAAATATTAAGGTTAGCAAGCTGGTACATTTTCAATATCTTATTTTGATTTTAAGCTATCACAGTCTATGATATATGCGAGGACGAAATCTTCTACTTAATGGGTGTATTCTTAGAAAATCTAATTCGATATTTCGCATTTTTAGCAGTCTTTCTATCTAGTAATTAATATTGTAATTAATTGATTTGGGTTTTCTTAAAGAACTTTGTAAATTTATTAGTAATTTGTTATTTGTTTTATTATAGAAAACGACTAACAGAAAAAGATGAATAAAAAAAGTTAGTAATATTTCATTTTTAATTTTACTTTATTTTGTTAATTTTTTATTTATATGCTTTATTTTTTTTAAATATAATAAAAAAATTAAATCATATGTAAATAAAAAAAGAAATAGAAAAATAAAAAAATATATATTTTTTATTTTATTTTTCAAATAAAAAAATTATAATGATATTAAATTAAAGTAAAAAATTTCTAAGTTTTAATATATATATATATATATAATAAAAGGATAAACATCATCATTTTAAATTCAAAATCATTAAGGAAGGATTTTCTAAATAATCTCTCCATTAATTTGAAAATTTAGCCACAGTAGACCCATCAATAATTCTATGATCACACCCAAAGCTAACATTCATTATTTATCTAGGAAGTAATTACCCTTCAACATATCTTGGTAAAGTTTAGACTTTTCCAAGTCCCACAATACAAACCTAAGGCGGTAAAATTAGAGGCGCAGTATAAGTACCGCCAATAGTTCCAATATTGGAAATACAAATAGTTCCATCGAAAAGTTCTTTTGGGCCCAAAGTGCCTTGTTCAGCTAGTTTAACTAATTTTTTAAGTTCTTTTTATACTTCAAGTACAGATAAGTTTTATACATTTTTAATATTGGGAACTACTAGACCATTCGGAGAATCGACTGCTATTGTAATATTGTGACCTTAATTGAGAGTATATTCGAAAGGGGTATTTGTGTTATAATGACTGTTTAAAATTGGAAAATCTTAAAGGGCTAAAGAAAATGATTTGATAAAAATAGTCATAAAACTAACATTATTATTTAATTACTTTTTCCATTATTAACGAATTTCAGATAATTTTGTCAAATCAAATTCATCTTTATAATATAAATGTGGTATTTTGTTTGATTCAGTCATACTTTTTTACATTCCTTTCATAAATTCACTCATTTTAATCTGTTATTTTTTTTGAGTTTATGTTGTTGTAGTTGTTTCTTAGTTTTATTATGTTTATTAAGCTTATTATTAAGGTTATTTCTAAGGTTTTAGGTAATTTCTGATATCTTATTCTGTTATACGACCGTCTTTTCCAGTCGGATTTTCTATAAGATTTAAATCTACTTTAAGTTCTTTTGCTAAAGCGCGTACAGGTGGAGTCGCTAGAATGTATTTCTCAGTTTGCTTTTGTTTGTTTTGAATTTTATTTTCTTTTGTTTTTAAATAATTTAATACATCTTCTTTCATTATGCGACCTTACTTTCCTGAACCTTAAATTTCGCTTAAGTTTAAATTGTGTTCTCTTGCCATTGCTCGTGTTGAAGGACTTGTTAATTATTCTAGATTTTTTACATGTTAGGTTTATTATTCTTATTAAGGAGGTTAAATTGGTGATTCTTGCTGTTAATTAGGAGTGTCTTCTATTAAATAATCAAGGAATACTGATCCAACCTTTTTATTATTTGTTTATTTGTTTTTTTTATTTTATTTACTAAACAAGATTCATCTTCCTTATAATATAATTTATGCACTTTTCCTTCATATGAACTAGGAATTTGTGTAAATAGCTTATCTGTAGCTACATCAGCAATTGTTTAGAACTATTTAATTATTATTATATATTTTTTTCCTTTTTTTTATTGTTTACTTCATTAACTTAGTCACCTTCTTTAACATAGAGTTTTTTTACTATAGCTTCTTTTATATCTATTTTTTTTTTTTTTTTTAATTTTAAAAACTGGTATTTGCTTTTTATTTTTTAAAAGAATATACTTTCTCCCAAATCAGGCATTTTGAAAGGCTTAATTATAGCAAAAAAATAAGAATTTACAATAGTTTTGTTAATTTTTTTTATATTTTTGATAATTTTAATAAATGCTACATTTTTTTTTAATTTTTAAATTTATAAAAAATGCGTATTATCTTGGTAATAATATGTATTTTTTCCTTTGTAATAAATACTTTTTAATACAATATATTACTATTTTTAAGATATTTTTATTTAATTTTTTATTTGAAAAGAAAAATAGATTAAATTTTATATAATAATAAAATATTTAAAAATACTTTTCTTTTTCTTACAATATAAATAGAAATTTTTTTTTTTTAATTATGTTTAACTTAAAAAAAAAAATACTTAATAAATTTAGAAGTTTTTAAAATAAATTAAAAATTTATAATCTGTATTTTACTTCGTAATTATTAAAATTATTATTTTTATCTATGTATTTTTCAAATTATAATAATTATCTCAAATATTCTTATTATTTTCACATTATTCTTGTTCTATTGCATAATTTTTGTGTATTCTCTTTGAATAATCATAAAAAATATTTATTTAAATAACTTTTAATTTATGCTTTATATAAAAAGTAATATAAGAAATTTAAAAAATATACATATTATTATTATTTTATTCATATTTATTGTGCGTTTTTTTTTTATTAAATTATAGCTAGCCTTAAGTTATTCAAATTAAATTATTTTTAACATATTTTTAATATTTTTCAGTTTGAAAACTTATTTATATTTTTTTTAATTTTCTTTTATATAAAATGGATTTAATTATATAAAAAAATTGATATTAACTTTTTAGAAAAAATTTAACTAGATAAATTATATTTATTAAGATAAATCTTAATATTTTTATGTTTATAAAACATTTTTAAAGGCTATTCCTTAATAAATATTAAAACTATTATAATCTGATATTAATAGATCTTAGAAATTTTTATCAGATATAAATTATATATTAAATATCTATTCATTTTTAAGAATTTTATAAAATATAGGGCAATATAAAAAAAAAGTTTTAAAAATAAATAATATATGGATGAAAAAATTTGTTATTCTAATTTACATTTAGAAAATTACGAATCTATTTAATCTTAATATTGAAAATATATAAAACAAATTTATGAAAATAAATAAAGATAATACAGTATATATATATTTGAAAATAATTCCATATACATATTATTATAATAATTAATGATTACATCTTATTAAGGTTAATTAAGTTATGGATTATTAGGAAAAGAAATTTTAAAAATTAAATAAGTAAAAAATATAAAAAGAAAAAATTTTATTTAAGAATGCTATAAAAATTTTAAAAATAAGTTTTGATTAAAAATTAAATTGAAAGAAATAAATAAAAAATATTTAATAAAAAATTTTACTATTTATTGACATAAACAATAATATTATATATATTATTATATAAAAATATTTTATTTAATTAATTTTTATATTATTTTTTTACTTAATATTTTTAATTAAGAATGGCTTCATATTTATACGAAAGTTTAGAACCAAAAAGTTAATACTATGATAAAAGATCTAATTTAAGCGAAAAAGAATATGCTGAAAAATTATTAAACACAACTACAGTATATGTAGGTAATTTACATTGCAATTCGTCTGAAAATTCGCTTTATGAGCTTTTTTAAAGAGCAGGATAAGTAAAAGATATAATTATGGGAGTTACTGAAAATGGAGAATTCGCGGGTTTTTGTTTTGTAATGTAAAAATCAAAATTATATATATATAAAAATTAAATAATATTAAATATTAAAAGATATAATACACATGAATAAGCAAGAAACGCAGTTGAATTTTTATCACATACAAGGTTTATTTTAATTTTGAAAAAAATTATTTTAAATTAAATTTTTATTTACATATAATTAGATTATATGATAGAGTAATTCGTGTAGATTATGATTATGGATTTGTAGAAGGCAGATAATTCGGAAGAGGAATAAATGGCTATTAAAAAAGAGATTAATATAGATAAAATAATGATGCAGGAAGACATAATGTTCATAATTAATGGAAACAATAGTAGTATTAAAATAGAATGAATAAATAATAATAATAATAATAATAATATAATAATAATAATAATAATAATAATAATAATAATAATAATAATAATAATATTAAATAAAAGAAATTTTAAGTAATAATTTTTAATATTTAGTTATATTTATTTATTTTATAATAATTAAAAAGAAAAATAGAAGTATATCTAATTCTTAAGAAAAAAATTAAAAAAAAGTAAAAATATGATGTTATCGAAATTTATTGTTAAAATCAATTATAATATATATTTTTTTTTTTATATATAAAATTTATTAATATAATTATTTATAGTTTTTAATAATTATAATTCATATTTTTAAATATTTTATTATTTATATGATTAATATATCTTATAAATATAATCTATTGATAAAAAAAAGAAAATAATTGTTAACACGTAAAAAAATATAAATTCAAAAATTAAACATAAATATATATATATATATATATATATATATTTATATTTTTAAAAGAATTAAAAATTTACTAAAATCAAAAATTAAATTATAAAAAAGAATATAAATATAAAAAATATAATTATAAATGAGTTCGCGTTAAGCACGTAAATTATTAAAAGAAAAAGAAGAATAAAAAATACAAGAACTTCTTTTAAAAAATGATAAATAAGATTAAGATTAAGAAAAAATAGAAAATGAAATAAAATAATCATAAAATAAACCAAAATTTTTTTTTAAATGGATTCTAGTAGTTGTGAGAGTGAAAAAGAAGAAAATTAAGAAGAAAAATAAATCGAAAAAGATTAAAATAATTAATAAATTAATAATTAAAAAAAAAAAAAAAAAAATAAGAAAAAAAATAATTAAAAAAAAAAAGATGAAAAATAAGAAGAATAAAAAGACCAAGAAGAAATCAATAAAATTATTGAGGACATAAAAAAAAGTTCCCAAACAAAAACCGAATATGAATAATAAGAAGAAACTAAGCAAACCGAATTAATAAACGAAAATCTAAATCTAAAATCGACCTTATAAATAATTAAACCTAAATTAAACTACAATAAAGAACTTTAAAGATATTTTAAAGGTGCAAAACTGACCGAAAACTCTAACAATGATGAATAAGAAAATGAATTAGCCTAAATGGGCATCAGAAATAAAAGAATGGCTCGTTTGTATAAAAATCAAATAAAAAAATATAAAACAATTAAATAAATGAATCTTGTATATGATAATAAATCCCGTTCTCCAGTCCCTGAAAGATTTAATTGTGAATTTGTGGAAGAAAATAAACTCGGATAAAGGGTTTATAAGCTTATTCCAACCCCAAGATATGTCTAATTATAGGAATAATATGAAAGTTTATAAGGTTAAATGGACCCTTAGGTGGTTTTTGATTTTTTATAAAATAATCCTTTTATAGTAGACGCATTGTATAATATGTTTGAGTTTTTTAGACTTTAAGGTAATTTTAAGGAAGCAAACGCAATGTTAGAATAGATTCTTTTCATTTACGAAGATTGCTTTGGGTATGAATTTGGTAAAATTTTCGACGATTGCGAGAATATTTACTGTTTGTAATTTATGGATAATAAATTCGCGAATTCTTTATTTAATGCTTTATTGAAATTTATCGATTTATTAGGAAAAAAAGGGTGCTATAGATCAGCTTTGGAATACAATAAATTTCTTTTGAAATTAAATGTGGAAGAAGACCCTAGTGGAGCACTTTTGTGTTTAGATTATAATGCTTTGAGTTCCAAATAGTATGATTATTTGGAATATTTTGTGAAGTTTTTTGCCAAAGAAATATATAAAAACTCCAAGTATTCGATTCTTTTATGCCTAATTATGTTTATTCGGTTTCTTTGGCTAAGTTTGCCAAAAAAATGCTCTTTAATGAAAATGAATGTAATATTTCTATAAGCGATATGATAAAAATTAGAAAAGAAGATTTCGAAAAAGCTTAAAATATAGAAGAAGGGAATACTGATTATAATCATAATGTAATACTTTTGAGTGCTATTTTATTATATCCTGGGTTAATTAAATAATTGGGGACTGCCTTAGAATATACTAAAAGTACATTATCACATTCTTCTTTTGTAGATTGGTAAAAGAAGAGTTTTAAAGATATTTTTTCTCACCCTTTTTTTGAATAAAGCGTGCCTTATTATGCATTTTTGAGATTAGGAAATAATGAAGATGTGGAAGGATTACTGAAAATATATGATATTTATACAGAAAGATCAAAGATTTTATGGAAAGATAATAAAATTCAAATATGGGTTAAAGCAGTTTGCGGTCATATATTGAATATAATTGAAAAAGGAGAGTTTGTATATGAAGAATGGGTATAAAAAATGGTTTTGGAATAAAATAAAAATATATTACCGTTTGCACTTAATAGATATAAAATTTTATAAAAAGCTAATTTTAGTGAAAATATTGAAAGATTAGATTTAAATAATATATAAGATAATGAATAGAATGGAGGTAATAATAATTTAAATAATAATTATAATCCCTTAAATATGAATCAGGGACTACTTTCAGTTATTGCTTAGAGTATTTTACCTTGGTATCATTTACCTTAATAAGGTAATAATAATTAAAATGGTTTAGATTAAAACATGGAGAATTTTTAAGACGAAGAAGACTATTATGAAGATGAAGATAATAATGAATAAGATTATTAATGAATATATATTTTATTTATTAATGTTTTTGTTTTTTTTTTTTTTTTTCATTAAATAATTTTAAATATACTATCTATTTTTTTATTTAAAGTTGTTTCTTAAGAATTTATTTATTTAAAAATTTCCTCTTTTATAACATTAATGTAATTTTCTGTGTTACTTATCTTTTAAACTATAAGAAGATTTTCCCCTTATATATCTTAAATTGTGTTTTGGAAATCAGTTATAATTTAAGAACAGGAATCTTTATATATTCCGGCCAATTATTTTAGACTTTCGTGAGTTTCTTCTTCAATTTTTTAAACTAAGGAATTTAATTTTTATATTTAGTCGTTTTTCTCTTCTATTTATACTTTCTAATTGTTGATATTTGTAACTTATTCCTTCATTTATTCAAATTCTGATTATAAATTTACATATTTTTGATTGTTTGTATGTAATTGGTATTTAAAATTATTCTAGAATTCCCTAAAGTCGTTTATATTAGGCAATTAACATTTTATTTGATTTATTTCTTGTTAAATATTAAATCTGTCCTTTGTCAATATGTCGATTCTGTTTGAATTATTGTTAATTATAATTCTTACTTTATCTAAAAAAAGTCTGTTTTCTTCACTTGTTTATTATCTATATTATTCCATTAAATATTCATTTTATTAAATTTCAGATCTTAAATTTTCGAACATATCTTTTTCACTTTTTTAACTTATTTCTTCAACTTTTATTTCTATTAATTATATTCTTTGACTTAATTCGATTATTGTTTATTAAACTGTGCTCTTTACTCCTTATATTTCTTCGGTTAATACATCTGCTAATGTATTAAATGCTTATCTAAGGGCTCCTATTTATTATTAAATTAGTTTTTCGCTTTATAGATTTTCATAATCCGTATTATTTATATTTTAAAAGTTTAAGTTTTTATACATTTTTTATTTTGTAAAAATTTAAATCTATATATATAATTTTATTTAATTTATAAATACATTAATAATTTTTAATTTTTTTTTATTTTTATTAATTTAAAAATAATTATTTATTTTTATTTAAAAAAATATATAATTAATAATGCAAAATGTTAATATAAATATATAATAAGTTTCAAAATGAAATAAATGAAAATTATTTTTATTTATTTTTCATAAGATATTACAAATTAATATTTTTATAAATAAAAAATAAAATTTTTAAGTTATTAAATTCAATATTTTTAATATTTTTTTGTTTCATCATATTATTTATATTTATTATATTAATTATTTCCAAAATATACACCTTTTCTTTTATTATTTTAAAAATTAGATTAATTACTACTATTATTAATATTCCCATTTTAATAATTATATTTATTAAAAGGTTTATTTCCAGTTTAATTAAATTTTTATTTTGGTACAGGCATATGATCTTAACTATTTAAATTACTTCTTTCAGGCTAATAATGAAATTCTTTATCAAAAACAGGCATTCTTAAATAATTAAAAATAAAAATAAAAATAAAATTTATTTATTTATATTTTATTTATTTAATTTTTTAAATTAAAAAATATTATATACTAATCATGTGTACAAGGTAAAGGTTATGTTGTAAAATATTCGTGTTCTAAAGCTTATTTTGAATCTAATCTATCTTCTGGATTTATCACTAATAATGCTGATAAATAATCAAGTGTTGCTGAATCTATATCTGGTATTTTTGACCTCATATAAGAAGTTAATTATGGTTCATATTCTTTTTTTGCCTTTTTTTATTATAAAATTTAATTTAAAAATATATATTTTTTTAAATACTTATAATTCTTTCCAATTTTTACATTAAGTTAATCCTATCCATTATTCAGGATCAGGTGCTCCACATTTATCATATATTTATTCAATTTAATTGCTTTCCGTTTTTCCATTAAACAAAGGTTCGCTTAAAAGAAGTTCAGCCATAAAACATCCAGCACTCCAAACATCGCTTTTAAAACTATAATTTCTATCGCCTTATAAATAATAATAATAAAAAAAAAATTATCATTTATAAATTTATTTTTGGTTTTAATTTTCTACCAAATAATATTTCAGGGGCTCTATACCAAAGCGTTACTACTACAGATGTTAAAGGACGAAGTAAAGGTTTTTCCACTTATCTTGCCAAACCAAAATCTCCTATTTTTAATATTCCTTCTTTATTAAGGAGAAGATTAGCGCCTTTATATTTTTTATTATTATTATTTATTTATATATATATATTTATATTTTTATACTTTTTAAGTCTCTATGTATTGTATTTTATGAATGAAGATATTAAAGTCCTGAAAACAATTGCTTCATTAAACATTTTATTTATTGTGTTGTAAATTATTTATGCTTTTTTATTAGGCCTTATAGGTCGTGCTCCATATAATCAAAAACTAGAAAAGTAGTAACTTTTTACTATCTCTTATCTTTCATGCCTAATATTATTTTATATATTTATTTTATATATTAAATTGATAAAAAAATTATACAAGCAGTTTTCATTGTTACGATTTCGTTTATTTTTAGAATATTTTAATGGTTTAATTTTTATAAAAGCTTTATTTCTCTTAGTGCTGTAATTGGAAACTATATTACAAAAAATAAAAAAATTATATACTATGTAATTTTATTACTCCATCTTTTTCTTTTGAAACGTCTAATTATTTTAATGCAAAATATTTATCTTTAATTTCTTTTTTATATGCTTTATATACTCGTCTTGTTATTTTTAAATATTATATTTTTTAGCTTTAAAAAAATGTACCCATATGTACCAGAACCAACTTCGTGTAATATTTCGTATTATTCATAAAGGTCTTTTGATTTTAATTATTCTAAAGTTACTCTTTCACAATAAAGGATATCTTTTTCTGATATTTCACCTTCTTCATATTAATCGCATTAATCCATATTCATTTATTATATATAATTATTTATTTTTATATATATTTTGGTACAAAAATAACAAAAAATTAAAAAAAACTAAAGTGAAAATACTAAAGAAATATAAATTGTAAAGATTATTAATATTTATTAAAAGAGTTAAAATAATAGAATTTTTTTTTTTAATAATGTATTATATTTATATTGTGAAATAAAAATGAGTTTATTATAAATTTATTTTTTATTTCTAATAAAAATATAATTATTTTATATTCTAATTTTAACTTTTGTCTCAAACCAAAAATCATGATTATTGATATTTTATTTATATAAAAATTAAAGATTTTTTAATTTTGGGTATTTTATTATATGATAATAATATATTTATTTTAATTTATTATTATTTATAATACATAATAAAATATTTTTTTTACTATATATACCAATTTAAAGAAATTCCAGTAAAAATATATTATAACATTTTTAAAAATTAAAAACACAAAAACAATTTATTTAAATATATTTTTTTTTAAAAAAATTATAATAAAATTAAATTTATAATGCATATTTAATTTATATTTTATTTCAAAATTAATATAATAAACATTTTTTCTTCATATTTTATTTAAAAGTATATGCTAATTTAAATAATTTTTTAATAAAATAAATTTTAATTAGAAAATAATATTTAAATTATGTAAAATAAAATATTTTATAAATTAGAAAAATAAATAAAACATATTTATTTATTTAAAAAAAAAAAAATAAAAAGTAAATAAATTTATTAATAATAAAAAAAAAATGAACTATAAAAAAGTAAAATCATATAATTCAATTGAAAAAAAATCTATGAAAGATATAGAAAATAATTAATTAAAATAATAAGAATAGCCAATATAAATATAAAAAGGTGCCTAAAATTCTTAAAGAAGTATAAAAAAAGATGAAAATGAATCTAGTTAACCAAAAGATATTCAATAAAGCAGCTTACCTTAAATCTAAAATTAAAAAACACAAGAAGAATATGATATTATACTAGAATAAAATTATTCACACTAAGAGAGTTCAAAATTTTAAAATAATAATGAAATAAAAGCACAAGATAATTAGTAAAAAATAAATAACGAAGAAAATTAAAATAGTAATAATAATGATAATAGCTTAAAAGAGTAATAGACGACAGAAAGAAATATTAATAAATAATAAACAATTAAAGAAGAAAGTTTATAATAAAAAGAATAAAATGTTAGTTTAGGTAAGATTTTAGGTTATGCAAAGAAAAGTAGAAAGTAATTATATGAAGAAGCTTAAATGCTATCTTCAAGAATATCTCTATTATAACAGGAACAATTAAATAGCCGAAAAAACATATATTAAACAAAAATATAAACGCTTTAAACATATAAACTAAAAAAAAAAAACGAATAAAATTAAGAAATTGTATAACATAAAAAAATATATATATAAATATAGAAATATATATATATATATAAATAAATATATATATATATATATATATGTATTTATAAATTTATTTATTTATAAATATTTTTATTTATATATACATATATATATCTATTTCTATTTATAAAGAAAAATAATTTAAGATAACAAAATGGATCAGATGTTTAATAAATGCGAAATTCTTAAAATAAATTTCGAATTTAAAAACGAGATGCGAGAGATTAGGCAAGAAATAAATATTATTAAATAAACAAAACTTTATATAATCGAATAAAAAAAGAAGACTTAGAAAGCGATGAAAAAATAAATTCTTTTAAAACTTCTTTAGTTTAATTAAATCAAGTTAAAGCTAAATAAGTCAGATATAATACTATGTAAGGGAAAATTTTGATTTAAAATTATAAAAATAACAAATAACAATTTTATATGGAAGATTATAAAGCTAAAATTTAATTAGAAGAAAATCTTAAAAAAGAAAAATCAAATTAAATTTAATAAATGGAATTATTAGAATATAGTCTTATTAAATAATTACAAAACACACAAGAGTTATAAAGGGAGGCTTTTAAATAATTTTAATCAGCTTTAATGCTAAAAACTCATGAATTCGAGGAATAATTTAAACCTGATTTTTCAAAAAAACACTTAGTTAGTTGAAAAAATTCGCTTCTCCATAATATTATTAATATTAATAAATAAAATTAATTAATGGGGGAGATTTTTCTAATTAAGTAAAAAAAAACTCTTTGTAATAATAAAATACGAATAATATAGGAAGTACATTAGAAAACGGTTAGAATAATAATTATAATGAGAATTAATTAGAAAATAAAAACGAATTAAATTCTGTTAAAATTAATCAAGAGAAATAAAATATTAAAAATGGAATAAAGAAAAAAAATAAAAAAATAAAAAGTTAAATTAAAATTTATAAGGATTTTATATTTTGAAAAAATTATTTGTTTGTGGTTAAAAAATTAATATATATTTTTTTTATTTTTTTGTATAAAAAATTATAAAAAAACAAAAAATGGATGATATTTCAAATGAAATATTATAAAAATCTGAAAATTTAGACGATAATTTTGATGGATATTTAATGTTTGATTTCCATGAATTTTAAGGTTTAATTTAACAATTTGATTTAAATATAGACACCAATCCTTAAAATAAAATGTCTAATATTTTCGGTGAAACCCAGAATTCTGGTAAAAATATTACTAATAGTCCTTTTTTATAATCATCAGAAAAAAAAATATCCATTTATAATTAAGGAATAGATGAATTAGAAGATAAAAAAAAAAATCAAAATACGCACATATAATGTTTAGATTTATTAAATAAAAAGATTAAACGAATTATGATGAATTTTATGAGTTTTTGCTGAGTTTGGAATTCTTTAATGTATAAAATTAAAATTAAAATTAAATAGATGAGTTAAAAATGGATTAATTTGAATATTTGTTAAAAATAAAAGAATATTTTGAAATTTTAAGAAATCATGTAGAAAAAATAGCCTAAAATGACTCTGATTTATGGTTTGGGGAACTTAAGAATAATTTTAAATAAATGTATTAGATGTTTGAGAAAATTATTGATTGTATAAGTGAATAAATTAATCCAGTTTGTTTAAGTAGTTGCTATTTTAGATGCATTGAATTTTTAGAGTTTTTTTAGTAGTTTAAAAGTATGAGATAATAGTTTTTATATAATAGAAACTTCCATAATATTAATAGAAAAAATTAAATTATTGATAAATCTGCTCTTTAGAAATTTTAAAGGGTAGTCAGGAAATGTGTTTTATTTCAAAAAATAAAATAAAAAATGAATTTGGCTGTTGTTTTGGGAAGAAATGATTTAGGAGAAATTTAATTATTTTTTTAAAAGTTTATTTATTTTCCGTTGATTTTTAAAAAATAAAATCAGTTTTAATTTAAAGTTAATAGTGGAAAAATTTATAATGTTGTCAAAAGTAAAAGAAGAAACTTAAATTAGAGTAGTCTGATAAGAAATAATATTAATACTAATTTTTTGACTTTTAGTTGATTTTTTGTTTTTTTTTTTGTTAAATTAACAATATTAGGTTTTTTTTTATTTTATTTTTTTTAATTTTAATGTTACAAAAATTCTATTAAAATATTTATAAAATTAATTTTTTTTTTTTCAAAATAAAAAAAAATAAAAATTAAATACATTAAACTATAATATTTTTAAAAAATAAAATAAAAAATAAATTAAACTATAATATTTTTAATATATTTTTTTTTTTTTAAAAAAAAAAATGAATTAAATATTATATTAATCTTTCCAAGCAAAAAATACATTTATTGAAAATCAAACAAAAAACTACTCTCAAATATTCGAAAAATATCACAATTTACAAGAAAATCTATAAAAAAGTTCTCAAATGTTCAAAGACACATCTTTTAAAATACAAAATCAATAATTTCCTCAAAAAGTAGTTTGGAAAATGCCCCAAAAAGAATAAAAAATTCAAACTGAAGAAAATGAATCTTTGCTATTAGAAAACGTATAATTTTGTATTTCTTTATTTTGTAAAAAACCTGAATATATAAGTAGATTATTTTTAAATAAAAACCCTAAAAAAGGTTTGCATGTAATTTTTTTATTCTATAAAGGGGTTTGGACTCCTTTTTTTATAGACTGTTATTTACCTTATATATAAAAATAAAATTAAAAAAACTCAAATTCTTAATTTTAATATATGCAGTTTTTACAAAAAGCATTAGCTAAATGTACTGGGAGTTATTAAAATTTAATAAATTAACATGTTTTTGACATATTGGAAAATTTGGGTGGGTTTTCTCCTTAAATATTTGATATTGGAAATAAAAATTAAATCGAGAAAAAATTGTCTAAAATTGAATAAGGGTGGGAATTTGTAAATTGCTTTTAGTAAAAAAATGAAATTTTATGTTGTTGTTTTAATGATAATAATAATAATAACGGATATTAGTTAAAAAATGTACATTTTATGGAAAAAAAAAATGCATTGAGTATTAGTTTATCCGATTTTTAAAATAATAAATTCGAAATTTATAATGCAGAAGCTTTTTATAACTAATATATATTATTAATTAAACTTAAAATATAATAAAATAGTGAATAAAATATTTTTTTTTACAATGAAGTGTAGTTTAGATCTGAAGAAGTTACAAAAAGAGAGGATTTTTCGAATTATTTTAGCGTTTTTTTTGAAATGGCAAAAAGCGGTAAAATTATCCTAAAATTTAATCAAAAAATAATAAGACAGGATTTTATATTTTAATAACATAAGGAGAATTATAAACGAGTTTTTTTAGTAAAAATAAACAAAGAAAACAAAGAAATTTAAAGCTTAGATTGCTTATATATAAATCAGTTTTTTTTTTTAATAAAAGAGGGTTTTTTCGAAAAAGGGAAGTATTTAATTTTAATTGAAATTCAAAATAATTTATAAGTCGATTTTTTTTGGAAATAAAAGGTTATTCTTTTAGTGAAGAAAAATTAATTTCGAAATTTTGTAAAGGATAACATATTGAAAGCGCCTTTTTTCATGCTTGCTTATAATAGAATATTTTAAAAAATTAATTGATCTAAAAAGTTAAACCTTATTTCCTAAAAAATAAAAATTTAAATGTTTGGAAGGGATAAATTGCAGGATGCTTTATTTATTTGTGTTAAAATTTGGATAATGTCAATTGCTTGTGTGTGGAGATCGAAGTTAGTTAAATGTAGGGCATTTTTCTGGAAGGATGTCCAAAATAAGTACATAAAAATGATAAGTTTTTGGTTAAATTTTAATTAGATAAGTTGTAATTTGCAATTCTAGTATTTAAGTTTTTAGAAGATTCTGATAGCAATTACTAAAATATACAAATAGGGGCTATAGTTAATTTCTGTGAAGGTTTTAGTTCGAAAAAATGGTAACAGATTTTGTTTTAGCCTATATAAGATTTTTTTTGGTAAAAAATTGATGAATAATATAGTTTTATTTAAGAAGAAAGAGAAGACGAAAATAACAAAAATTTAAAATATTTAGAATTGAATATAAAAACTGAGATTAAAGCAAACCAAGAATAATCATATTAAATTTTAAACAATATAAAAGATATAGAATAATCCAAAAAAATAAATAAATATTTTTTGGATATATTTAAGTTTTTATTTAAATTTAATTTGCTTATTTTTATCTTTTGTAAATTCAGTATTTCATAAATGTAATTTTTTAGATATTTTTTGCTTTTCAAGCATATTAGTAGAATGTCAAAAAGGAAATATTAATAATGAAAAATTAGCTTTAATTATATGTTTTTTATGTCTTTCTTGTATTTTAGATTATTTTTTTATTATCTAAGAAGGGTGGGAAGGTTAAAATATTGCAGTTAAATTATTTTGTGTGTTTTTTTTAATATTTTGAAAAATATTGGTTTTTTTCACATTTGATTTTGGTAGGGTTAAAATGTTTGAGCTTTTTTGTTTATTTTTTTCTTTGCTTTAATTTTAATTCTTTTTAAAACTATTTCTATATATATGGATTTAAGTAATGAATTTTAGTGAGATTTTTTTTTTTTCCTCTTTAACAGGTGTATAATAATTTTTTTATTTTTTATTTTATTTTTTTTGTAAATGTATTTATTATATGTATTTTTTTTATTATATATCTTAATTTAATAATTAATATTAAAAAAAAATATTAATTTTAAAAATATATATATATATATATACATATATATTTTTAATAATTACAATATTTTTATATATACTAATAAATATATAAATTAACAAAAAACTAAAATTATAAATTAATAAAAAATTAATAAAACAAGTTAAAAAAAATATTAATAATTAAATATTAAAAAACCTTATATTTTAAATAAAAATACTTTTACTTAAAAAAATAAAAATGATAAATCACCTCAAAAGATTAATAAACCCAACCAAAACAATAAAATAATCCTTCATAAATTTCGCCACAACTCCCCCACATTAATAAAAATTACAAGAAAATATTAAAGATGATAACGATGATGTCCATACCCAACGTTATTTAGAATAATTAAAATTAGAAACATAAGGAGAACCCATTTATCCCGAATAAGAATAAAAAGAAATAAAAAAAGAATTCAGCAAATATATATTTAACAGTGCTTATAATGCCATTTAATTATCCCTAGATGATTGCAATATAATAAATATAGAAAATGAATCTACATTTCACCGAGTTCCTAAACTTCAGCATGAATTGGAAAATGTTGTACATTATCCAGGTATTTATTTTATGGATGAAATAGCCAAAATATAAAAAGACTAAGGAAAGTTTTTGAGAAATATTCCTTAGCCAGATGAGATTGATTTTGACAAAATTCCGCTTTATATACCCCCTTCTAATGATTAGCTTTTGCTAGATTTTGCGAAAAAAAGCAATATTAAATATGTTGTGAGTACTTCTACTATTTCTTCTGCACTTACTTAGATTTATTATATGTTTTCGGGTTTTAGGAATCCTTTGTATGATAATATATCGAGTAATTATGAAAATGAACCGAAAAAATATATGATTTCTTAAAGAAAACCAACCACAAATTATTTAAGAAGACTTGATAAGGAAAAAGGTATTTACGCTTTTGATTCTGATTCTGGAATTTTCGAAGCACCGAATAAAATTTTAATGGATTTAGGTAAAATACTTGAAAAATAACTAACTTTGGATGAACAAACATTCAAAGACGCTCTTTTGAAAACTTCAACTAAAAATATTTTAATAGAAGATGATCATCATAGATTTATGAAACTAAACGGAGGTTATTTATATATATATATATAAAGATTTAAATATTTTTTATATATAGATATTTGTTTGAGATCTTAAATTGATTGCACAGCAATTTCAAAAGAAACAAACTAACCAATTGTATTTGAAATAAAAACAAGAGCTTCCTGTCCTATAAGATATGATTTGGAAAATTATAAGGATTATTTAGACTATAGAATAGTTTAAAAATACGGAATACATTCTTCTTTTGAAAGAGAGTATTATGATTTAATAAGAGGAGGTTTTCTAAAATATTGCTTTTAGTTAAAAATAGGGAGAATGGATGGTGCGTTTATCGCTTATCATAATACATTAGAAATGTTTGGGTTTGAATATGTGAAAACTACTGAAATAGAAAATCGAATTTTCGGGAATACGCTTTTTGCAGATGCTTCATTTGTTATTTGTTCAAAAATTTTAACTAATTTATTAAATTTAATTTTGGATGATTTACATAATGAAAATTTTGAAATGTTAAAAATTGGTATTTACTGCGATTAACCGTCTAAAAAAATTGTCGTTTTTATAGAATTATTTGATAAATAAACACCTTGGTCAGATAAAAAATCTATGTAAAAAACGAAAGATATTTGCGATGAATTTGATTATTTTACCAAGGTTGAAAAATTTGAAAATACAGTCTATAAGTATGAGTATTAGATTTTCCCGTTTATTAATGGAATTTAGGCTAAATCCAATAATTATTTTCTTTAAATGGGAGATTTGATAGATGTAAAATATAAATTTAAGAAAATAGGTAAGGCTAGCTTTAATGATTATATGAACTTCTTGCATGATGCATATAAATTTGATACTATTAATCTTGATTTGAGTTATAGTGGAGTTTGGTTAAAATGATTGTTTTTATTTTTTATAAATAAATATATATATATATCATATTTTTTTTTAATTTTTTTTTTTTTTTTTATAATAAATTAAAAAAATATATATTTTTTATTTAATAATAAACACATAATTATACAAAAAATACGCATAATAGTATATATTTCCTAAAAATATACTAAATATATGAATAAAAAATTACTTTTCGAATTAGAAAATCATTATACATATCATATAGAAGCCCAAAACTTAGTTGAAAATGCAAAAGGATGTACATTTTTAGAAACAGGAAAAAAGAGTATATTATAAGACCAATATATATGCTTGGATTGCTTTCCAAATGAAAGATATGGAGTATGTAAATATTGCATAGGATATTGCCATGAGAACCACAATGTCAAATATTTTCGAAGATCGCGTTTTTTTTGTGATTGTGCTATGCTTGGCCATAAATTTAGATAAAGGGAAATTTTATTAATGAAACATTGCTGTTTAAATCATATTGATAATAAGTTTTTAAAAAAATTCTATAAATGTCCTAAATGTAATATTAATATATGCTTTTATTGTGCTACAGACTCTAAACATAGAGGGCATTTTGAGGTTTACGATATGGCTGAGTTTACAGAAAAATAATAGGTTGTGAAAGAAAAGAAGCTTTTTTCAAAAAATGTTACTGTCGATAATCTTAAGGATTATAAAGTTAACGGCAAACAACATAATTAAATTTGTGAATGTGATGATTAGGCACATCATAGAGTTTCTAGAATGCGTAGTTTTATTATTAGATACAATTAAATTATTGTATCCAATAAAGTTGATGGTATTATTATATTATATTATATTTAATATATACTATACATTATATAGAATGCTTAATTCATTAATTGTTTAATTTCTTATTTGAAAATGAATAAGTTTATTAAGGTCTTTTCTAAAAATTCGAAACTTATATGAAAGAAATAAAATCGAAATTCGGAAAAAAAAATAATAATAATAATTATAATAATGAGAATACTTCAGAAGAAATAGCAGTACTTGTCGAAGATAATAGTTTCCTAGACTACGTTTTTATATATGATAATTTATAAATAATATAATTATTGGAAGGAACTAATAAACGTTTTTTAAAATTAAGCGAAAATTTTGTAAATATAACTACCATAGAATATATTAATAATATAATTATTAATATGTCTCATACGTTTTCGGTTCTCGATTCTTATTGTCTTTAATGGTATGAGAAAATTGTTGAATTTTTGATGAGGATATATATTTTTTTAGTGAAAAACGATACTTCTGTTTTAAGAAAAATCGAAACGAAAACTATTGAAAATGGGTCTCCTTTTAAAAGAATTAGTATCAGAGATCATACTTAGCATGCTATTTAGAAAGGTTATGTAAGTCTAAATTATTAAAATATTTAAAGAGATATTAAACATTATCTTAATTTGGTTTCAGAAATTCATTTTTCCCCAAAAATTTAAAATAAATTATTAAATTTTACACTTGAATTAATAAAAATCATTCTTAAATGTAGAATTATTTAAGTAAAAAATAAAATAAAAATAAAACGAAATGGGAAAATATAAATTTAAATAAAAAGGGAAATCGAGAAACTGTGTTTTTAAATAAAATATTAAATAATTTAAATACAGAATTCTAAAAATTCATGCCAGATGACATAAATATAATAGTAGACGAAAGAACACTCGTATTATTATCTGATGTATTAGTACTTTCATATTTTCACAGTAAAGACTTATAATTCGAGAACTTGTTAGTCTAAAATAATTTCCTTAAGAAAAATTTTTAAGAAAAGCAATTAAAAATAACCAATTTAACACCTTAATAATAATTAGACGAATTATTAAATTCCAACAAAACTAAAAAAGAATTCTATTTTTTATATGAAGGTGATAATTAAAACAATATGAATATTTATAAAATTCTTTTTGGGACAATCATGAATATTTAGTTAAACAAGAAATTTTAACAAAAAAATAAAAACTATACATTAAAAACATAAGCCAATATAATGAAATTATTACGAGAATAATGCATTGCTTCTACACTTTACATAGGAGGCATTCGCCGATGTACTGAATTAAATTATTTCTCTTATACGTATTTAAAAGAGCTTTATAAGAAAAAAAACATACTAAAAGACGCTAAAAAAAAAATCGAGAAATTCATCAATAAATACATTTTGGCGAAAAAAATAAATGATAATCCGCTCAAAGAATTAATGGATATATTAGAATCGATAGTAGATACAGATAAATATTAGTATTTTTTAGTACTTATAAATAATAAAATGTCTGGACTTCCCTAAAGTAAAAATGAAAGGGAGTAAATAATGCTAAAACTTTTAAAATTTTAGATGAAAATTCATCGGTCAAATATTGATTTGTCCATAATAAAGATCTTCAAGAATTATTTTTTGGTTTTTCCTTAAGAATAATCACTTCCGAAAAGTCATGTTTTCCAAAATACATCACCTTTGTATTTATAAAGGAATTGTGTAATAAATAAATGCTTAGATATTTTAAAAGTATATGCCTATTCTAATATTAATTTAATGGAAAATATATTTCAAAAAAATAATTTGGATATTATTAAAGGATTAATAGAATAAACAGATACTCATTTAGAATTCTCGACTTTTTATCATGACTTAGTCTGCTCAATAGATGAATGTGAAGGTGGATTTACTTAACCTTTGATTCTTTTTGATCATTTTGAGAGTTTTTTGGACTTTATAGATGCTAAATATAATGACGTAAGTGAAATTTCGATATTTTTATCTAATAATTTACTAAAATTGAGAACTAATATGTATGAATCGATACTTATTTTGATTGAAAAATATGACTCTAGAAAAAAAAAAGTGGAGGAATATTACGAAAAAAGTTCAGTTATTAATCATTGCTATGAAAGTATAGCTTCTGAGCTTTTGAAAATTATAGTCGAGATGTTTGAGGGAGGTCAGTATTCTGTGAAAAATAAATAACCTCATAAGTATGTACAAAGAGGAATATCGGAAAGCTTAAAACTTATAAATGAAAAATTTAGTAAACTTCTGCAAGATGATTGTTTTGTTATTATTGCTAATGATTCTAAAAATTATTAAAAATTAATTGAAATTGCTACTAATTAAGATGAAATTATTGCTTTTAAAACTATTTAGTTATTCGGGATTTGTATTAAATTACTAAATATTCTTATGGAAAATAATGAAACTTTGTTTCCTTAGAAAAATATTGATATGTTATAAGCTATTTTTCCGGATATTACTAATTCTTAATTAACATTGGAAACTTTCTAGTTTTTAGAAGAGTTATATTAAGATGTATTTTTATTATATATATATATATATATATATATATATATATATATATATATATATATATATATATATATATATTTGTAAATTTTAAAATAGTCTGAATATTTTATTGATTTATAAACTGAAATTTTTAGATTTTTTAATTTGCATTTTTTGAAAGCTAAAAATGTTATTTTTAATTTCGAAAAGCGTTATTTTGAGCTTAACTTATTAATAGGAAATGAACTTAAAGTGGCTTAATTAACTAAAAAAATTTTTGCTTTAAAATCTAATATTTAATTACTTGAGAAGCTTTTAAGGTAAAATATTTAAGGATTTGTTTCAAAGGTACGATTATTTTAAAAAATGCTTAAAAAGTCTTCCAATTTTCTTAAAGATTATGGATTACATGCTATTTTTTTACCTTTTGAGAATATTATAAGTTTCACAAAATTAGTTGGAGATGCAAATTTTTTAAATGGACTAGAATTAATGAAAATTAAAGAATTAGTTATTGAATTTATTTTTATTAGAGATCTTTTTACTACTGTGATGTTATCACCTTAAATTCCAAGAAAATTAGATTAATTTTAGTCTAATGCTTTATTAGAAAAGGCTAAATCGATTCCAGAAGGAAAGCTTTTTGGTAAAATAGAAGATATTTTTGAAAAATATGAAAAATAATTGGCTAATAAAGAATATACATAAATATATAAGTAATTTATTATTAAAAAAATAATTAATCTTTATTTTTTTTTTCAGGAAAAATGTTAATTTTATTTAATCTACTATTAGTCCTGTTAATATAAATAATAATTATTATTAATTCTATAAAAGACTAATTAATGAAATAGATTTTTTAAGCTAAAAAGATTAAGCTTCTGAATTGATAATGAATAGTCCTTTATATTAATTACATTACTAATAAACAAAACTTAAAAACTTCTGTAAAATAAGTAATATTTTTTTGAATTATTTCCTTAAATAAACCCTTAAACCTAATTTGATTTATCCTTTTAATAAATAAAAAACTTCTGATTATTATTCATATAATAATATGTGTAATAATATAAAATTATTAAATAGATTGCTTATTTTCGATACTAAATTATTCCAAAATTTAATAAGAGAATATATAGAAGAATCTGTTTAGAATAAAGAATTATTTGTTTCTATTTTATAAAAAGGTATTTTTTATTTTAAGGGAATATAATTTTTTTATTTTTATTATTAGTTTCATATAATATGCCTCTTTTATTTTCTCTTGTTAAAAATTATGAGACTAATTTTGAAGATAATACATTAAGAAGAGTATTTTTTTTATTTTTTAAAAGATTTTTATAAAATATAGATAGGAGATTTATGTGTTGAATTTCTTTAATTTTTCAGATATTTAGCTGAAGAATAACATGAATATCTTTAAAATATAATAGGTGAATAAGGAATTTTATTAAAAATGATAGGATTAAGTGAACTTTTATTTAAATCTTGGTAAATAGATATTCTTACTAGTAAAAAATCTTAACAAGAAGCACTTTATGTAAAATAAAAAAATATTATTATTAGATAAATCATTTATTTAAAACTAGATTATGGAAGGTGGCATAACTTAAACCTTTGTAAAACTTTTTACATATTCTATGATTAATTTAGCAGAAATGCATTTAGGTCCTTGCACTTTAAACTAAATACAGACAGTAAATTTATTTACTTAATAAAAAATTTGGCCAATTATTATAAAATTACTTGTTAATAAAACATCAAAATATACTTCTACATAAGAAACGATAAGAGTTTATGTATTAGAATTAATTATTTCATTATTAGAAGGATAAAATTCTGATATTTTAGAAAGTATTAATTCTTTTGTAAATTATAAAATATTAGAAGAAACTTTCATTTAAACATTCAAATCTATAGTGAAGGTAAAAAATTCTCATTTTAATTTTTTTATATATATATATATATATATATATATATATATATATATATATATATATATATATATATATATATATATATATTTTTTATAAAAAGACATATTTAAAAATGGATATACATGAAAGTTCTTCTAGTATTGTAAATCTTTATCATATATAAGAATTGTTAATATAGATGTATAAGAATTAATTAGGAGAAAATCTACATTAGTCAGTTTTGTAAGAAAAGAATTTACCAATAAAAATAATTGTGAGCATTTTAAAAATACTAAATATTTATAAAACTATATCTAAGGAAGTTGAAACTTATTTAAATTTTTATAAAAAAAGAAAAACTGATAAATAAAATTATAAAAGTACTTATAATGGTATTATTACTACTGGATTTAAATTTTTGGATGGAATTATTGCTGAAATTGAACTTGTTAATAATTAAAATAAATTACAGACTTATTAATATATTTTACCTCCTTAATGTTTTTATTTATCTCAGTAATTTTATTTTTATAAATTAATTTAATTTTTAGATTTTATTTATATAAAGTGAAACTAAAATATAATTCATGGAATAAGTCGATAGAAGTAATAATGGCGCAAAATTAGGTTGCATGATAGAAAAATTAGAAGATTTTATAATTGAAATGGAAGAAAACAAATATATATACTAAAAATATCAAACATATTTAACTTCTCTTTTAAATTTTACAATGTTCTCATATGATCATTCTAACCCTGTTTTATTATTAGCATTAATAAACTTAGCAATAACTATTTTATTGAACTTTTCTTATAGAAAACAAGGGGATATATTAGTAAGGGAATATTAATTTTATATAAATTTATTAGCAACTCTTAATGTGATTTTTACAACTTTAATTTTGTCTTTTTACATATTTTTAAGATCCAAAATCTACTTCAGAATAGGTTTTAAGGAAATTTAAACTGACGAAGATTGTTAATCAGGGATTGCATTAAAAATTTATATAAAAAAAATATTTTTATTAAAAAAAATATTCTAATAAAATGATATTTTCCCTTTTTTCATTATTCTAGTTTTCTCTTTACTTGGTATTTTTTTAACTGAATTTTTCTTTTATGTTCTCTGTTTAAATTTCGTTTTTGTAAATAAAACTATGAATTCTGTACTTTAAGCTTTATAAATGAGATGGAGGAAATTTTTAGGTTTTTTTTAAAAATATAGATAAATAAAAATATATTTATTTAATAATATATATAGGTATTTTTGTACTTGTATTAATCCTTTTGAATATATATGCGTATATAGGATTTAATAATTTTGGTAAAAAATTTAAAACAGAAGTATTAGGACCTGATGGTGAGTTTTTTGATGAATTATTATGCGATACGCCTTACCATTGTTTTATTTCTTTACTTTTATACGGTTTAAGAGATGATAATGGAATAGGAGCATTTGGTTATAATATGAGTATAATGAATTCTAATTATGATTTTTATACAAATTTTTTGTTTGAGTTTTCGTTCTTTTTGATTGTAACTTAAATTATGCTTAATGTTATTAGTGGTATTATTATTGATGCTTTTGCGGATTTGAGGGATGAATAACATTAGACTGAACATGATATTGAGAATGTTTGTTTTATTTGTGATTTGTAAAAGTGGGAATTTGAAAAAAATGGAGTCAATTTTGCATCGCATTGTGCTTCAACACATAATGTGTGGAATTATGTCAATTTTTTGGTTTATTTAAGTGTTCTAGGAAGAGAAAATGCAAATGGACTTGAAACTTATGTAATGAATTTAAATTTGTAAAATAATAAATAATGGATTCCTAATTAATAGACTTTTTAAATAAAATAAAATAAATTTTAATGAATAATTTACTTTTAATATTATTTATAATTTTAATATATTTAATAGATAAAAATAAAATTATATATTTAATTTTATATAAGATAATAATTTATTTTTTATAATAATAAATAAATAATTTTATTTAAATTTCATGATATAATAATTTAAATATATCAATATTTTTTTTACTTATTTAATAAGTATATTTATATTATACAAGTCTGTGTAAAAATTAATAAATCAAATATATATATATATAAAATAATATAGAATCATTATTATTATTAATTTTGTGTTTTTCTTTATTATTTAAAATGATATAAAATTTAAAAATATATTATTTATGTACTATTTGTACTATTTATGTACTATTTTTTTATTTTTTTTAATATATTTAAAAAAAAACTCAATATAAATATTATAATATTTATTTTACAACTATATATTTCAAAATATTATTTAGTTAAGTCTTATCTTGTATTTTAAATTGATCTTTTTCATTTTTTAATTCTAAAAATATAAATATAATAGCATTTAATAAAAGTGTATTAAGTAATTAAAATACGTATTTAAATTTTTAATATTATAATATTTATAAAATTAATTTATTTCTAAAAATATATTACGAATTATTTTTAAATTAAATATTTTTCCCCTTTTCATTGTAATTAAAAATGCAAGGATAATTTAAACAAAAATTAATTTTAATTACTTTAAAATGTAATAAAAAATATAAAGAAATAAAATCTAAAATAAAAAGATTTAATTAAAAAATAATATATAAATTTAAAAAAAAAAACAAAAAATAAAACAAAAATATTCAAAAAAATAATAATAAAAAGAAAAACAAAATCTATAATCTAAAATCAAAAAATGAAAAATTATTAATCCACAGCAATTTATCCTACCGGTTTACCTTCTAGAAGTATTGAACTAGACGACTTATTTATTGATTACAACACTTTACATCACCCTAGAGGAAAAAACATATTCGACCGTTGCAAATCAATGTCCACATTCCTCGATAAAATGAGAAAAACAAATTTATATTTATACAGTAGAAGAACTCTATCTCCTCCAGGTGCTGAGTGCTACGGAATGGACGAGTTCGGTGAGGCTTTTTATGGTTTAAATTTCGCAAGTGCAGATTACTTAGGGTTAAGTTAAAGTGAGAGCTCTAAATAGGCAGCAATAGAAGCTGCATAAGATTATGGAGTAAACTCTTGTGGATCTCCTTTAGCTTTTGGAGGGCATAAATATTATTATTAGCTTATAGAAGAACTTAGAGAATTTTGGGGAGTAAGAAATGTTATGATTTTATCAACTGGATGGATGGCAGGATTTGGAGCAATAAAGGTAAAAAAATCAATAAAGTAGTTAAAAATATCAATATTTTTAATATATATAGGGATTAATTAAAGCACATGATCATATTGTAATGGATTCGTTAAGCCATAATTGCCTATTAGAAGGAGCTAAAGCATCTACTAAGAATATCTATAAAGTTAAACATTTATGTAATGAAAGCTTCGAGAATAAAATAAAAGAATTAAGAGCTTAATATCCTGAAGATGGAATTTTTGTTATTACAGAAGGACTATTTTCAATGAATGCAGATATTCCTGATTTAGTAGGCTTATAGAAAATATGTAAAAAATATGATGCTTTCCTCATGATTGATTGTGCTCATGATTTCGGATGCTTAGGACCTACAGGAAAAGGATCATGGGAAGCATAAGGACTTACTGATCTATCAAATGTTTTACTAATGGCTGGTGGATCAAAATGTTTATCAACTAATTTAGGTATAATATATATATATATATATATTTATATATTTATATATTTATATATTTATATACTTATTTATAGGATTTATTGGTTGTAGTGATAAACATGTAATTGAATTTTTAAAAACTCATTGTACTGTTTTTATGTTTACTAATGCTGTAAATCCAATTTAATGTAATACAGCTTTGGCTTAATTGAGAATTTTAAAAAGTGAATATGGAAATCAAATTAGATAAAAATGTAAAGATAATTATAATTATGTTAAAAAAAAACTTAACGATTTAGGATATTAAATTTTAGGATAACCTTCTCCTATTCTTATAGTTTATATTGGAAATGAAATTGTATGTAGATTAGTTTCTAGATTAATGATGGATAATGAAGTTCATGTTAACGGGATAGAGTATTTTTTTAATTTTTATTTTTTCTTTTTATATACATATTTATTTTATTTTATTTTATTTTTATATTTATTTATTTATTTATTTATTTTTTATTCTATTTTATTTTTATTTTATTTTATTTCTTTTTACTTTATTTATTCTATTTTATTTATTTTTTATTTATTTTTAGATATCCTGTTGTGGCTATGAATGAAGCTAGACTTAGATTGAATTTATAACCTTAACATGGCGAAGAAAATATGGATATTTTTGTAGATATTTTTGATAAAGTTTTTAAATAAGCTGTAAAGATTTTCGATGAAGCTATGGAAGTTTATTAAAAAAAATAAGAAAAAAGATTAGAAAAAGAAGAAACTAAGAGTGATAACTAAGAATAAAAATTTGAAAATATTAAAAATCAAGCTAAACTTTGAAATAAATAAATAATTTTACTTTTTTTTTATATGATTTTGTTAAAAGTTGTATTTATATATTTTTTTTGTTATGTTTTAAGAATAACATAGTAAAATAAATATATTATATATAATTTTTTTTAATATAATAAATAAATAAAATACAAATATAAACTAAATTAAATTAATTTTTTTAATTATTATTTTCTTAAGAATAAAATAATAATTAATTGAATTAAAGATAACAATAAATTTTTATGAAAATATAAACATAAGTATTCAAATTTTATTTTAAATTTAGCTATAGAGAAATATCATTCATTTATAATTTATATATTTACAAAAAAAAAAAAAAATAGTTTAAATAAAATATTAATTATTTGAAGAAAACATTATATAAAATAAAATATTAAAAATAACAATAAATATAAAAAGAGAATAGCAAAAAATAATATATATAAATATATATGTATTAAAATTATATCCTATCATAGATTTTTTATATATTTTATATTAAAAAATGAAATTTTTTCAATTCTTTCATTTTTTTGATTATTAATTTATTTTTTAAAAATATTATAAATTAAATACTTAGATTTTATCGAAAATTAAGAGTTTATTAATAATAATAGAATAATCTTGCAGATCTATTGTTTCTTATAATTTAAAATATATAGACTATATCCAATAAATATGATTTTATTTATTTATTTTTTAATAAAAAATTAAAGCTAAATTTTCTTAATATATTGAGAAATAAAGATAAATTAAAATTATTTAATAATATCTTGTCTTTTAATAATAGATTAATTAATTAATTTGAAAAAAATATTGAATATATATTTATCTTGTCGTCTTTTAATAATAGAATAATTAATTAATTTGAAATTTTTTTAAGAATAGAATAAATTAATACAAGTGTTAAATGTTATTATTATACTTAATAAATAAAATAATATTTTCATGTTCTTTTATTTCTGTAAACTATAAAAAAGCTCATATATATTAAAAAATAATATTTATATTTATTTTTATTTTTTTAAAAATAAATAAATAACTTAATAAAAAAATGTAATATATAAACGTGTAAAAAGTTCAATCATATGAAGCTAATTACACTATATTAGATGGAAACTATGATTTTATATTTTAACATATGTAAAGAAAAAATATATAAAATAAAGACAATGAAGATTTATTCGAATTAAATGAAGCCTAAATAGTAATAAAATAGCTATAGGAAATATGCATAAATTTATAACATCAAATGAATGATAATTAAAATACTTATGAAGAATAAATAAAAACATTTTAAATATAAATGAATAAAAATAAAAAATAAATTGAAGAATTAAAACATTAGTTAAATAGTTGCAGCAATCATAATATAAATTAATATATAAGTTCTATGGAATGTGATAATTGCAACAATCTTTATAATGTAATAGAAGATTTAAATAAATAATATAATAAAACAATTCAAAATCTGAATGCGAAAGTAAAACTATTAATATAATAAAACGCCGAATCGTAATTGGAAAATTAAAATTTAAAATAACTTTATAAAGATCTAATTATTAATTAAGATTTTTAAAAAATGGAAGTAAAAAAATAAAAAAAATTAAGCTTCATAGTAGAATAAAATTAAAAATAATAAGAAAATAAAATATATAATAAAAAAAGTAAAAGTAATTATTATTAAAAAAATAATTAAATTGATGTTTAGAAATAAACTTGGGAATAATATTTTATTTAAAAAATTATTATATTTTTCCTAATACCATTAAGTTTCTTTTTTATGTGGAAATTAAAAAAATAATGAAACACAAATAATATTATAATGAATAATATTGTTATATGTTTAGAATTTAATGTAAATTTCATATATATATATATATTATTTTTTTAAAAAAAAGCATAAAATACTTGAAAATATATTTGTTTATAACTATATATATATACTTATTTTTTTTAATTTTTAAAATATTTAATAATTAAAAATATAATATCAAGTTACAATGTCTTATAAATCTTATTCAATTAATTTTTAACTATCTTTTTTTATTAAAATAATTAAATGTTTGATTAACGATTTTAAGGCGATAAAGAATTTAAAGGTGATAAACATTAGTCCTTTTAAAAAGTAAAACAACTAAAAACTAACCTTTATTTTCTATTGTTAATTTCATTTTAATATTATTGTACATTCGAAGTGGAAATTTTTTTTTTATTTGTTATTTATTAAAAATATTAGTATCTTTACTTTTGGTTAATCTATGATAATTTTCATTCAATAATTACAAAGATAGCACTTTTGCTTAATTATGTTTATTTAAAAACCAAAAATGTTTTAAAATTTATTCTGGTCTAATTCTAGATTCAGGATTTTTATTTAAGCATTTCTAGATAAGATCTTTTGCTTCATTCGAAATATTATCCCATGGATCAGACGGAAAATCATATTGGCATGCACAAATTTTATTAATTATTTCTTGTATACTTTAAAATAATTTAATTAAAGTTAATTTAATTTATTTTATTTTATAAATAATATATATTGTAATCACTATTCGCCATAAAATGGTTCTTTTCCAGAAAGCATTGTATATAAAATTACACCAGCACTCCATATATCAATAGTTTCACTATTATATATATAAATATAAAATTAAAAAATATATATATTGAATTTACTCATAGGAGCATTCATTAAAAATTTCTGGAGCAGAAAATGAAATTGTACCTGTATATGTCCACATTTTAACTCCTTTTTAAAAAGGATATTAATTATGAAAATCTTTATAACAATCACTAAATTTAGAAACATTGAAATCTGTTATTTTTAAATTAAATCCTTCTATAAATAATATAAAAAGATTTTTTTAAAAAATATTTATATATATATATAAATATATATATGTATTTTTCTATATAAAAATTAATTATAAATATATTTAATTTTTAAAATTAAAGAATTTTTAACAAAAAATAAAAATTTTAAAATTAAAATATTTCATATATATTTATAATAATATAATTAGTAATAATAATATATTTTATAATATATTATTTTAATATAAATAATAACTTTTATATCATATATAAATTTTATTCATAAATAATTAATTATTAAAATTAATTAATTTTTTTTAAAAATTTTTATATATAATAGCAATATTGAAAAATAAAATATATAAATATAAATATATATATATATATATATTTATTTATAT